AAGATGCCTGGACTTAATTATTGTCTTCAGAACGTTTGGCAATAACAATTTACAGTAGCCTAAGATGGAACAGACACTAAAAGACCAAATACTAACAAGAATATCTCTTTTGAAGTTTCAAGCTTACTTCAAAAGTGATACCTTTCGTGTTCTGCTTGATTAGAGTTTCACATAACAACACAAATAAGCATCACACTGGCTGAACCACATCGAGGTTACGTCTCCAAGCATAGCTGACAACTCGTAGAGGAGCAAACAAAATCGGAAGAACGAATCGTAAAGGAATAAAGCGCATCGATATCAAAAGAGAACGAGCCGAGGCAAAATTAGTGTATAGAATCTAGGATACTTATATGTATAGTAAGGTCCCAAACAACACAACTCGCAAAGGACGAACCACTCAGTGTCTATTCACATAACAGAGTCAATAATACTTCTAAGTACCAGGCAAAATACCAATAACGGCTAAAACTCAAGACAGTAACTACCTAAATGCGGTATAACTGGTAAATGACCGAGACACAAACCGGAGGGAGATCCTAATCGAACAAACTAAGTCCCAAATCTTCGTCGCTCTCCTCTGTTAAAAGTTTCAAAGTTTGGCAACCAACTTTGGAAAATGTTTTTTCAAAGTTTGGTAAATGTTTCTTTGAAAAATGCTTTTCAAAGTTTGGTAAAATTTTGATAGATGTTTGTTGAAAATAGGAATGGGTAAATTCACTTTAGTCATTGCACTTTAGGGTATTTTCAAAGATTAGTCCATAAGTTTCTACTATAAATACCCTTACCCATTTAGCTTCAAAATCATCCCAAAACATTTCTTCTCCTATACTAGAGAGCTTTCTTGAGTAGTGAGTGTTTGTAAACACCTGTAAATTTTCTCTCTTAGTAAAAGATCTGCAGCAGCCGGAGACGTAAGCACAATTGGCTGAACTCGTTATCAATTTTCGGGTATTATTTTCGCTTTTATTTCGCATTCTCACTAATCTGGTTATAGGGAAATTACTGTACTCGGTTTATTTTCCTAACACTGGTATCAGAGCTTTTGGTTGTGAATTTTGTCAAATTTTCTGCGAGGTTACTATTCATTACTATTTACGTGAATAGTGAATTTCGTGAATAGTGAAATTCGGTCGGCGATACGAGTTTGTCGACGGTGGTGTTCTAATACACGGTGATTCGCAAGAATTCAGAAACGATCCAAACGAAGCCAGATTCGAGTGGGAGCGATGGCTGCAGACGAAGGGAAGGTGAAAATTGAAAAGTTCGATGGTGCGGACTTTGGCTTTGGAAGATCAGATTGAAGATTTTTGTACCAGAAAAATCTATATCAACCTCTCTCAAGAAAGCAACAAGGGCATGAAAGATGAAGATTGGGCTCTTCTCGACATACAAGCCCTCGGAGTTATCCGACTGACGTTTCCCGCAAATGTTGCTTTTAACATAGCAAAGGAAAAGACCACGGCGGGTCTTATGGCGGCTCTCTCCAGTATGTACGAGAAGCCATCGGCCTCAAACAAAGTTCATTTGATGAGGCGATTATTCAATTTGCGGATGGCGGAAGGGGCATCGGTGGCACAACACCTAAATGAACTCAACACAATCACAACCCAGTTGAGTTCAGTGGAAATTGAGTTCGATGATGAAGTTCGAGCTTTAATTCTCTTATCATCTACCAGAGTTGGAATGCTACTGTTACAGCAGTCAGCAGTTCGTCGGGAAACAGCAAATTAAAATTCGACGATGTTCGGGATCTGGTATTGAGTGAAGAAATTCGACGAAGAGAAGCGGGTGAAGCATCAACCTCCTCAACCTTACACACGGAGTCTAGAGGGAGAACTTCAGAAAGAAATTCAAATCGTGGCAGATCAAAATCTAGAAGGGGCAAATCAAGAACATGAAATAAAGATTTTACTGTTATAATTGGGCAAAAAGGGTCACTTCAAAAGAGATTGTCGAGCAACGAAGAAGAAAAATACGGCGCACAGGAATCTGCCAACATGACGGAGGAGACAGGTGATGCCATGATTTTAAGCGTCAACAGTCCGATGAATCATGGATCTTGGATTCAGGGGCATCTTTCCACTCCACCTCATGCGAGAAATCATGGAGAACTATGTCAGTGGTGATTTTGGGAAGGTTCATCTAGCTGATGATGAAACTTGAAGATCGTCGGAAAAGGAGACATCCGACTAAAGCTGCCAAACCAGACCACCTGGAAGCTGACAGGAGTGAGACATATTCCTGGCCTCAAAAGAAATCTGATTTCTGTTGGGCAGCTTGATGGAGAAGGATATAGTACAACTTTTTCAGACTGTGAATGGAAGATTACCAAAAGAGCACTCGTCATTGCGTGGTAAAAGATCGGTACTCTCTATGTAACCTCAAATTTAGAGAATATCATTGCAGTAGCAGTGCTGATGGAAAATCAAAACCTATGGCACCAAAGGTCGGCCATATGAGCGAGAGGAAAGGAATGGAGATACTTCTGTCAAAAGGGAAGCTGTCGGATCTAAAGAATGTAGATGTCGGACTATGCGATGATTGCATCTTTGGAAAACAAAGAAGTCAGTTTTACAAAGATTGGCAAGACTCCCAAGGCAGAAAGGTTAGAATTGGTTTACTGATGTATGGGGACCACCCTGTTCCATCTCTGCAGGCTATATTATGTCACCTTCATCGATGATTCAACAAGGAAGGTGGGTTTATTTTGAAGAAGAAATCAGAAGTCTTTGATACCTTCAGAAAATGGAAGGCCATGGTGGAAATGAGACTGGTTTGAAAGTCAAGCGGTTGAGGTCTGACAATGGAGGAGAGTACAGAGACAGTAGTTTCAGAGATTTCTGCGCAACAATGGGATCAAGATGGAGACAACAGTTCATAACACCGCAGCAGAATGGCGTAGCAGAGCGCATGAACAGAACTCTGAATGAACGTGCCAGAAGCATGAGGATACATGCCGGATTGCCCAAATTTCTATGGGCTGAAGCTATCAACAATGCAGCTTACTGATCAAACTGGGCCCAGTTCCTTTGGATGGCGGGAATACCAGAGGAAGCTTGGAGTAAGAAAGAAATAAACCTTTCACTTAAGAGTGTTTGGTTGTATTTCTTATGTACACATAAACTCTGCTGAAAGAAGTAAACTTGATGCCAAGTCCAACAAATGCGTCTTGTTGGTTACGGTGGTGATGAGTTCGGTTACCAGTTTGGGACTACGAAAATCGAAAGATCATCAGAAGCAGAGACGTCATTTTCAATGAAAATGTGATGTACAAAGATAGGTCAACCGCAGAATCAAGTAATACCGAAGCTGAAACAAAGGAATTTGCTGGTTCGAGGATATTTCTGGAAATGATGTTCAGATCAATCCTGAAGCAGTTCAAGAAGAACCACACACACCGAAAGATCATCAGAAGCAGAGAGTCATTTTCAATGAAAATGTGATGTACAAAGATAGGTCAACCGCAGAATCAAGTAATACCGAAGCTGAAACAAAGGAATTTGCTGAGTTCGAGGATATTTCTGGAAATGATGTTCAGATCAATCCTGAAGCAGTTCAAGAAGAACCACACACACCAGAACTGAGACGCTCCTCCAAGAATTCCTAAACCAACCAACGGTATTCGCCTTCTTGCACTATTGTTGACTGGACAATGGTGAACCAGAGTGCTATGATGAAGCAATGCAGGTGGAGGATCAGTCAAGTGGGAGTCTTCCATGAAAGATGAGATGGACTCGCTTATGTCAAATCAGAGTGGGAATTAGTTGAATTACCACAGGCAAGAAAGCGCTCATAACAAGTGGATTTACAGGATCAAAGAAGAACATGATGGGAGAGAAAACGCTACAAAGCAAGATTGGTTGTCAAAGGTTTCAGCAAAAAGAAGGTATTGACTACAATGAAATTTCTCTCCAGTCGTAAAACTGTCTACAACAGATGGTGTTGAAAATTGTAGCTGCGGAGAATTTACATCTCGAGCAGTTAGATGTAAAGACAGCTTTCCTTCATGGTGATTTGGAGGAAGAGATCTATATGAGGCAGCCAGAAGGCTCATAGAGGCATGCAAGAAAAACCTGGTATGCAGGTGAAGAAGAGCTTGTATGGTTTAAAACAAGCTCCTAGACAGTGGTACAAGAAGTTCGATAGTTTCATGAGTAGCAGTGGTTTACCAGATGCCAAGCAGATCATTGTTGCTACATCAAGAGGTTCGACAATAGTTTCATTATTTTGTTGTACGTTGATGACATGCTCGTTGCAGGCTTAAACATGCAAGAGATCATAAACTTGAAGCAAACATTGCGAAGCAGTTTGCTATGAAGGATCTGGGCGCTGCAAAGCAGATTCTTGGGATGAGGATCAAGAGAGACACAAAGTCGGGAACTTTGATGTTATCGCAGGCTGAGTACATCAACAAAGTACTCTCCAGGTTCAACATGCAAGATGCTAAACCAGTAATACACTTTAGGTGTTCATTTCAGACTCTCCAAAGACCAATCACCAAAGACGGAGGAAGAAGTGCACACATGGTGAAGGTGCCGTATGCCAGCAATTGGAAGTGATGTATGCCATGATTTGTACCAGACCAGATATTGCTCATGCAGTGGGAGCTGTTAGCAAAGTACATGAATAATCCGGGCAAGGTACACTGGGAAGCAGTCAAATGGATCCTCAGATATCTTCGGGGTACCACAAACAAAGCACTTTGTTTCAAAGGTGGAGATATGATACAGGCTATGTAGATGCTGACTTAGCGGAAATGTCGACATCATAAGGAGCACTATAGGGTATGTCTATACTAGGAGGAACTGCAGTGGTTGGGTTTCTCAACTACAGAAGATAGTTGCTCTCCACAACTGAGCAATATGTCGCTGTTACGGAAGCCAGCAGGAGATGGTTTGGCTCCAAAGTTTCTTGGAAGAGTTAGGCAAGAAACAAGAAAACAATATCTTGTATTGCGACAGTCAAAGTGCTATCCATCTAGCAAAGAATCCGTCTTTTCATTCCAGGACAAAGCCATACAATGAGATATCTTTTATCCGGTCTTTCTGGAAGATGAGATTTTGAAACTTGAAAAGATAGTGGAGCTCAAAATCCGGCAGACATGTTGACAAAGACGGTGACTACGGACAAACTGAAGTTGTGTTCAGCTTCAGTTGGCATGCTAGATAACAAGACCAGACATGCTGCTGCATTGATCGAGGTGTGAAGACATATTCAGCTTCAGTTGGCATGCTAGATAACAAGACCAGACATGCTGCTGCATTGATCGAGGTGTGAAGACATATTAAAATCAGTCTTCAAGTGGGAGATTGTTAAAAGTTTCAAAGTTTGGCAACCAACTTTGGAAAATATTTTTTCAAAGTTTGGTAAATGTTTCTTTGAAAAATGTTTTTCAAAGTTTAGTAAAATTTTGATAGATGTTTGTTGAAAATAGGAATGGGTAAATTCACTTTAGTCATTGCACTTTAGGGTATTTTCAAAGATTAGTCCCTAAGTTTCTACTATAAATACTATAAATACCCTTACCCATTTAGCTTCAAAATCATCCCAAAACATTTCTTTCTTCCTATACTAGAGAGCTTTCTTGTGAGTAGTGAGTGTTTTGTAAACACCTGTAAATTTTCTCTCTTAGTAAAAGATCTGCAGCAGCCCGGAGACGTAAGCACAATTGGCTGAACTCCGTTATCAATTTTCGGGTATTATTTTTCCGCTTTTATTTCGCATTCTCACTAATCTGGTTATAGGAAAATTACTTGTACTCGGTTTATTTTCCTAACATCCTCCTCCGGCTCTTCTTTCTTCTTTTCCTCGGTGGGAGGTGGAGCAGCAGCACCAGCTCCATCTCCAGCAGCAATAGGTGCACCTGCGGCAACCGGAGCGCCACCACCGCCAGCTCCAACATTGGTTATGAGATCCTCAATGTTGCACTTCTCAAAAAGCTTTGCAAACAAGCCCGGCCAGTAAGATTCAACAGGGACATTTGCAGCTTTCACTAGTGTTGAAATTTTCTCAGCCTATGAACTATAGTTAAGGGAAAAAATATGGGGATTTATAATTTCCTTAACAACAATAATTAAATTTCAAATTGTTCTTTCAGTTCCATTTTCGTATATCAGAGAAACGATAACAAAGATTAAAGCCGAAAACCATAAAACCCTAAATCGCGTAAAGGATACGGTGATGGGGATGCCATCATCATAGAGAATAAGAGCAGCGTAGGAGCAAGCAGCTTCTCCAACCGAAGACATCGTTTCACTATCAACAGTAAAATAAAACAGATAAACAATTAAAAACACAATCTGTATAAGGATTTACAAAGATATCCAGAGTACAAACGAAAAGGAAATTCTTGGAAATTTCTTGAAGGAGGCAATCACCCGAAGAAACAAACAAGAAAAGAGATGCATATGAATTACCTGAGAGAAAAATCCGAGAGAGGGTCCTGAGTAAGATGTGCAGCGTCTCTGTAAATGCAGTGTTTCGAGTCCTAGGGTGTCAGCAATGGGGTTTAAAACGACGCAATTTGGGGCTCATGAGATTTCTGAGCCCACTGCATCACTGGCCTGTTTCTCAAACGAGGCCTGCTGCCTCAACTGGTTTGAATTATATTATTTATTTTAAATTTTAAATTGATTGACATTGCATATATCTTTGCATTCGTAGTTGTTCTAATCTAAAATTTCATTTATTTTACATAAAAATCGAACCATCAAATGAATTCATGAATAAATGAAAGAGTTAATTGTATAACATGTCCCCTAACTATAACCTTTATTTTAAATTGATTCCTAAACTTCTAAATATTCCAATTTTATACCTATACTATGATTATCATTCTAAATTAGTAATCAAACTTTGGAACATTTAAATTTCATCCTCAAACTGACCTTCATTCTAAATTGGCCCCAAAACTTTAAATCTTCCAATTTCATCCTCAATCTATCCAAATATGTAATTAGTTTCAACCATAGTTTAACACAGATTTCCCCCGAACATATTATAATAAATTTGGCACAACGAATCCATCAACAGGGGATTTGGTTAGTATATACATATAGTTTGAGATGAAATTTAAATGTTCAAGAGGTTTGGGATCGATTTAGACTGAAGGTCATTGTTTGAGGATGAAATTGAAATGTTCAAAAGTTTGAGGACTAAATTAGGATGATAGTCACGGTACAAGGGTGGAATTGGAACATTTAAAAGTTTAAGGACCAATTTAAAATGAGGTTTACAATTAGGGGACATGTGATGCAATTAACTCTAAATGAAATTAAAGGTTTAGGTAAAAGTGATATCAATTTCAGATACACATTTAAATTCGTTTTTTAATAAAAAGTTTAGGTTGAAGGTGGTTCCCAGTCTAGGGTCAGAGTATATCTAAGATTCAATTGAGATTTATATAAAAATTTACAGTTTGTCCACCAATGATTAGATCATCTCTGAGAAAATATATACTTTTAAAAAATAAATTAGAAATAAAAAATGGGTGAATTGAACGAATGCAATATGTTAGTGCGTAGATAAACTATACAAATAAAAATGTTGCTTAGATTCTTAGCATATCAAAATCTTACCAAACTACGTGAAACAATAAGAAAGTGGATCGCAGACAAACTGAAAATGTGACACCTTCTGCTGCCATGCAACATGTTGCTGCCTGGGCCACTATATAATATAATATAACATAATACAATATGGTTTATTAAATTTTAAAATTTTAATTTCAATTAAAATAATAACAGTTAAATCTATTAAATCAAACTTTACTATGTATTATAAAAAAACCTTACTATGAGTCTATATATTAATCATTAATTGCATAATTTAATCATCTTGAGTTCATGCATTTTAATCAAATTTAATCTTTATTTTAATATTTATTCTGTTATACTATACGCTAATTGGATTCATTTTTTTCTGGGTAAGTTACGCATTTAGTACTTAAATTATCAGTTTTGGTTTGTTTTGGTACTTAACGTTTAGTTTTTATTTCGTTTTAGTACCTCGCGATTTGCACTGACACATTTTTTGGATAAATTGCATCATTCATCACTCAATTATCTTATCACTACTATCTTAGTCACTAAAGTTTAAATTTTATTAATTTAATAACTTAACTTTTAAATTAATCATAATTTAATCACTCGAACTCTCAAATTTATTTTTTATTTTAAATTATATATGAATGAAGTAATAATAAAAAATGTCATATCACAAAAATTATTAATAAAAAAAATTAGAATGATTAAAATAGGAGCAACTTGAAAGTCGAATAGTTAAATTGAAATTTTTAAACTTTAGTATCAGAATAGAAGTGAGAAGATAGTTGAACAATAGAATGATATAATTTTCCCATAAAAATACAGAAATTATGTATTTTTTTAAAAAAATTAAAAGTTTAAATACTAAGATGAATCAAAGTTTAGTTACAGGACGCATAATTTACCCCTTTTTTTTCATTTATTTCTATAGAACAACCATTTTCCGCTTTTGATCAAAATGTAATGAACAGATTTCAAAACTCTAAGGCACGAAATGATAAGTGGCGTGCTTTGCTCTACTATGAAACAAGCAGAGGGAAAAAGAAAAGTGACTGATCATGGAAAAACAAGCTTGACTTACCGAGCGGATCCAAAAATATTTTTTAAGGTATATATATATATTAACAACGTAAATTTTAAAAGGATTGAATAAATAAAACTCTACGATAGACATCATCCGTAAAATAAATAATTAATATAAAAACTCAAATTTCAAAATAGATACAAAAATTTTAGGTAACATCATAAGTGAAATAAATAATTAGTAAAAGAAAATTCGAATTTTATAAGTGCGTTACCCTCTGCCAAGCTATGACTCCTCTGATTCGATTGATTTGATCGATTAAACTAAAAAAAAAAACTCACGGAAGTGAAAGATGCTACAAAGACTGGAGAAATCAGCAGCATGCTATTATCTCAATAATCCCATCTTTTAAATAAACAAAACCAATAAATATATAGTAAAAGTTAATGGGGGTGAACTATCCGAGCTTACCCTGTTTTCTTTTGATTGGCCAATCAATGGAATTTGGGGTTCGAAGATACAAAACCAATCTTCTGAGCCGCTTTTGGTACAATATGAACAACGCTGTCATCGGATGCTCTCTGCAACCGGGAAAGTCATCTAGTAATTAGTGTGTTTTAAGGGTGGAATCCAACGACCAATATTTAGTTTCCACCTTTGTGCAAAATACATGAACGAATATGATGATGATGATGATGATGGTATCTACTCCTAATCCTAATGCTACCAAACTACATGTATGATGAACTGAAAACGATGATGATGGTGACGACACGATTCCTATCGTGCGATACGGTTAGCTCGACCTTAACATCCTTGACTGTCTCTCTCCACATGGATTAACTCGGTGGTTTCGTATCAATAGGTGTCTCGGGAACTTGTGAAGGACCTGGCTCCTTTCCCTACCTCAGTAGTTGTCGTTTGGGGTAGGGGTTCTGTTGTTGGTGGTTCGATTTTCGTTGTTGCCACCGTTGTCGTTGTCACGCTTGTTGCTGCAATACCTGCTTTACATTTTGTCTATGACTAACGCTTGTCGCAGTATGAATGAGTTTGAAGGTAGTAGAAAAACATTACGAAGCTGCTATACCTGCGGTCGTTGCCGCTGTAGTTGCTGCTATAGGCATTGAAGATGGAAGTGATTCGACTCCGATCGAGCTAACCTGTTGAGGCAAAGAAGGATATGGTACCGTCTGGGGATAAACGGATAAACATTATGAAGCATCCTCGTGTAGTAGGGTGAAACTTGTTGGCCTCCATAGACATTATAATAGTTCTGCAAAAACACCATCAAATTCAGCTAAAGCAATGCTAAGAACCTGATTAAACATCTCTTTATGTAATTTTTTACACACTAACCAAAGGATAAACGCTATCCTGTGAATATCCAGTGTATCTGAAAGTGAACATTCATGATGAAACTGAATCAATTAGACAACAAAGAACCAAATACAGGTTAAAAGGAGGCAATGGATTTCATTTTCCAGAAACAATGAACTCACCCATAAGTTGAGTAAGGAACAAAGTATTGGCCAGTAGGTGTTGAATATAAGTAGATGAAGAACCATGATAACCAGGTGCTGATCTAAACTGTCCAACCCCTGCATTTGATTGTTTCTTAGTCTTCATATTGGCCAACTCCTTATCTCCATCTTGAAATACAAAAAAGATGATTTTTTCCCAATATAAAGAAGAACACATCTTCATGATGAATAAAAATGGGGTTTTGAAATTTTCAACATATGAGTATCATCATCAAACAAAACAACCATGCTGAGTTGGTGGACGAGTCTTTTGAGCACCCAATGAAGCAAGATTGCAGTTTGCCCTCCTTCCATCAATGATAGGTGAAGGGTTTTGGCATGCTCTCGTAGCTGCATCTGGATCCTTGAATGTAACCTGGAAACACAGACACACCAAAATTTGTGCTTTTTTTAATGAGAAAACATGGATATGGAAATAAAAAAAAGGCATTTGTTCTTCTTCATGAAGGGATCCATGAGCTTACAAAGCCATAACCCTTGGATCTCCGGTATTCTTATCTGATATAACACAGCCTCATGAATCTCTCCAAATTGTTCAAATAACGCCTCATGGTGTCCCTCGAGTTTCCCATGCCAATCCACCAACAAGATTTTTGTAAACTTGTGTCATTGTACTGCCCTGGATTGTTACCGCCCACCATCGGAATTGCCTTTGTTGAGACATAGAACAAAGAAAAAAATCGCATAGTCCCCCAAAATAAACAGGGAATGGACCTTGAAGGGAGCCTAAAACAAAAACCAACCACCCAGAAGCCAAATAAGAGGGTTAAAACAAAAAAAAAACAAATTGTTTGGATGATCAAACAATCAAAACCCATCAAAACCTCTGTTTTCGATTGTTTTTGTTGAGTTTCTTGTTCCTCTGTACCGAGGCTCCTCAGATTCTCAAGAAAGCTGGCTAGTGGGCACGCATGACAGCAGTTGGCAAGGTTGTCCAATGAAAAAAAATTATATCATCACTCTTGTATTCGACAAAGGAAAAAACATACGTATATACATTAGGTTAATATTATTAAATTAAACATCTGCTTCGCTGTATTCAACCTTGAAATTTGGTCCTGGAAATCTTTTCTTGATACTATATCTGGGCATTTGTGGGAGGTAAAAACATACTCATTCAATCCATACAAAAAACCATCGACTCTCTCTCTTTCTTTCTTTAATTGTAATTGTCTTGCCTTTGTCTTCAACTCCATTCCTCTGCAGCCTGCAGCAGCTATTTCCCTCAACCCAACAAAAAAGTACATGTATTGCGGTTAATGTTTGGTGGACCAAAACCCTCTGGCACCACCTTCTAAATTCTCTCTCTTTTCCTAAACAATAACACTTTACCACCTTCGGCGGACCCAACTCCCACTTTTCCCTTTTAATACTCCATTTATTTTGATA